TCAAAATACATTTATTTACACTAGATGAATGATTAAATTTTATGCCACCATCATAATGCTTGTTTCAAGCCATACAAAGATTTGATAAATCACAAACTTTGCTTTCATGCAAATAGTAGCCTCCTCTTAATTAATTTTTCTCTCCAAATCACAATAGAAAATATTTTGGCATTAATAAAATGAGGCTAACAATTTAGTACAACACATATATCTTTTTTTTTAATAAAGCAAAATACTTTTTGCTAGACACTCCCTACACTTTTAAATATTTCAGTCACATGAAAAATATTTCATACTTTATCATAATGATTCTAATTAAATTAGAATCTCATCATATAATCTTCTCCCATTCTAACTAAATTGAAAATTCTCATAATTTTAAATCCACATAAACACATCAATGCATGTACATAGATAGATTAATTTGTGAATTGATCAAAAAAAATTTTGGGCAACATCCATAAAGCAGCAAGTAAACACCATGTCATCTCTTATAAATTTACAACACACATGCAAGCACCAAATACTTGCTTAGATAGATTAGGTATACCACATTATTTGTAATTTATTTAATAAAAATATAACATTTAAATAACATTAAATATAAATTGATTCTAATATTAGTGATAGTAGGAGAGAAAAAGTAAAAAATTAAATATGCATGCTATTACAAGAATAAAATCAATTAAAATATTGTCACGTAAAATTTTATTTAGATAACTTAAAATATTTTAGTTAAACAGATCACGAATGGCATGGCACATTGGATTTATCTAATAATTTTTCTTTGTTGATGCTTAGAGCCCATAATATCCTCTTACATTTGATTAATTATGAGATACCGCTTACGCTTTAAACAAAATCCAAGAACCACAATAATTCATTTACTTTTAAAATACAAAGAAACATCCCATTGATGTTTGCATAATCGAAAGATATCATAACCAGAGAAATAATTCCTCATTATTAACATTCATTTAATAACAAATATTAAATTCACAAAAATACTTAATTCCATATCCCAGAAACATTTCTAGCAAAATACCATAGTCATATACAATATAACCAAGAAAACAAGGAATCAATACACAGTTAAAAGAAATTAGAGCGTCATGGTGAGAGAGAGGAATCAACCATATAATACCTCCTTTAAGCAACGAATCAGAACCCTGAATTAGCGATCATGATTCGAGCTTCTCAAGATTCAAATCAAGGTCCACATGCTTTCAAGCAGGAACGTAATTCAGATGAGACCTTCCGGAATCACATTAGAGAAGCCGAACCGGTCACTAATTTTCCAGCGGCTAATGTTTTTGCAAGGTGCTTCAATGGTGCTAGAGCATTCTATGTCCGAGGAAGTCATTTCTTGGAAAATATCATAGCGCTTCAAAGCAGAAGCAGCGACCCTTAATTATAAGGATCTCATTGTCCTTAAAGTGGGTCTGGGTCTCTGGGACATCCCCATACCTGAAGCACTTCTGGGTCACTAACATCAAATGTACTTGCAGATTTATATCCATCGGCCCAATTAGGGGCAAGTGATGATAAATATATTTTTATACCAATAAGATCATGAACAAGGGAATCTAGTCCCTCTGATCTTATGATTCCGTCGAAATCATAATCTTCCATGATGAGCATTCCTTTGTTAACTTCTCTCCAGTTTTCCCAGTGGAAAATTAAAGTAGGTGAAAATTTATCAAATAGGTTGTCACTTTTAAGATTGTTGGTAATGGCAGGAAAAGTCACAGTCTGTATTGTGTCTAAATACATTATCTTTTGTATATTCTGTCACATTGGATTAATTACACATGATTAAACGACTCTTTTTGCAAGAACATGAACATAAAACAACTAAAAAAGTAGTGTGACAGAAGAGGAGAGTAAGTCTAAAAGCACAAAAGTAGATGCACAACTATGACAAGCATGTTCTTTTATAGGTAGAGATCTAAGCAATAAAAATACTTAATCACAATTAAAAAAGGGTTTTAGATAATAATGGTATTTAAATTATATGTTACAAAATAATAAAGAGATTTAAATAATAATTAATATTATTAATTTATAATAATTCCTTTTAAAATACTAATGAATATTTTATAGTATCCAACAAAAAGTAAATGGGAATTTTTGACATATGAGAAATACAATTCAAGAATAGTTAACATGAGATGGGAGAGGAGAAAAAAATAGAGGGAAGGTGCGGCTAGAGGATACACGGACAACATCAAATAAACCCATTTTCCTGGAAACACCAAAATAACATTCACTTGTCATTGAATTGAGGTTGAAATGAGAAGAATAGCATTCCATCAAAAGCTTCTTTAGCAAATTCCCTTTCCGTCTTGCCATATTAAACCTTGAGACTCATAGATCATTTCCTTCGTTGGCAAGAAGCTAGGCCAAGGCCAATTTGGAACCAGTTATCTCTGCACCCAGGAATCCACTGGGACGCTTTTTGCTTCACAAATCGATCCCTAAGCGAAGGCTATTGTGCAATGAAGATTATGAAGATGTATGGATATCAGAGATTTAGATCATGCATCATTTGTCAAAGCACCCTAATTGGTTTAGATACAAGGAATGTATGAGGATTCCGTGTTCATACACTTAGTTATGGAGCTTTGAGCTAGGGTGAACTTTTCAATAGGATCATTCAGAAGGGGCATTACAGTGAGAAGAGGGGTCAAGTTGATCAAGACCATTGTTGGCGTTGTGGAAGCTTGCCAGTTTCTTGGGTCATGCATAGGGATCTCACGCCCGAGAATTTCTTGTTTGAAAATCACGGCGAAGATGTCAAGATGAAGGCTAAGGATTTTTGGTTGTCTGTGTTCTACAAGCCAGGTTGATATCTGGACGTCGTCCCAATTTTGTTGTCTCCAATTAGAAAATGTTGTCTATTCTCTCATGTTTGTTTATTTCTTGTGATTGCTCTTGTGACTCTAATCATTAAGAGAATCGAAGGTTCCTTTTGTTCTTGATTGATCAATATTAGTTAATCAATTCACATTGGATTATGTGTTAGCATTGTTTCTGCAGCAGAGACCACCGTTGATTGCCCATTATTTTGATGGCTGTATCTTGTGTTAAGAACACTGTAATATGTCTTTTATACAAAGATGTATAAACATGTCAAAGGACTAAAACCATGTTTGATATACTCGGGTGTTTCTTTGGCCTATCTTTTTTAATCGACAGTTTAGAAACTCATTAAAGTTCTCTGTTGGTCGAAAATGAATGGAGAGAATTCTCTAGTATTATCACAAAGATTTGGTATAAAAACATATTCCCTATATGGAAGCAATGCAAGTATGGTTTTGCTTGCTTGTTTGTATTACTTAGGTTATTGTATTCAATAATTTTATGCAAATATTTTAATCAACTTATTTCATATGCTTGATCAAAAGCATGTCATTTATGACCTTATATCGAGTACCATTTTTGCATGAGGCACTAGATTTGAACAGAATATGCTCAATGATAAAGGTAGGATTTGAACAGACATGCTTGAATAATAAAGGTGGGATGAAGTATGAGTGAAAAATTAGGAAAAATATCATTCAAGGACTATGGAAGCAATTTAATATCAGATCAGGACAAAAATTTTGAAATATTGCTAGAAAACTAGGGGAATGATTTGAAAATAATTTTATATGAGAAAAAGACTATAATTCCCTTGATTTTTTTTTCTTTTTTAAAACTTGTCAACTAGTGAATAGTTTTTTTGTTAAATATTTATAGGTACTTGTTAATTAATAAATAATTATTTATTGAAATATAATCTATATTCATCTCCTTCCACAATAATTTTTTTTCTAAATTCTTGAACTTGTCAATTAACGAATGACTTCTTATTAAATATGAATATGTATTTGTTAATTAATAAATGACTATTTGTTAAAATATGATCTATGCTTATTCCTTTCCACAACCAAGTTCTTTTAGATTATTGAATTTGTTAGTTAACGAATGACTTCTTATTAAATGCAAATGGGTATTTCTTAATTCACGAATGATTACTTATTAAAATATGATATACAATTATCTCTTCCTACAATCAAGTTCTTTTAGATTCATGAACTTATCAATTAGTGAAAGGCTTCTTATTAAATATGAATGGGTACTTGTTAATTCGTGAATGACTACTTGTCAATTAAAAAAAGAAAGGTAAGAGTATTATGGTCTTTTTATTTAAAATTATTTTCAAATTAGTCTCCTGATTTTGCAGTGATACTTTAAAATTTTTTAATTCTTGATTGATATTAAATATCCTTAGTGGTCCTTGAATGTTATTTTTGCAAAAAAATTAAAAAATATATAATATGCTTTGCACCCATGTGTGAGATATATATATATATATATATATGAGAATAAGTAAAAAAAATATTTAAGGATCTTTCATATTAATTTTTGTAAGTGCTACAATTATCGTACTCGTCATCATGCCAGCAATGTTATGTCTAGTAGAAATGGTGTGCTCCTTTCATATTAATTTTTGTGAAGAAGAAGAGAGAGAGAGAGAGAGAGAGAGAGAGAGAGAATTAGATTTCCTCACATACAAATGATAAAAGCACTAAATAATAATGTTTTTTTGGCCAAAAAAATAATAATGTATTGATATCATTAAGGGAAATAGATTAACAATAAGAGGCAATATTTATTGTAAAATGTCAGCCATTCTAGAAAAAAGAAAAGTAAATGTAGATTACATGTAAGTAATTAATAATTAATTATTAAAATATTTTTAAATTTAATTTATTATCAATAGTTTTCAAGAACTCATTCAAAAATACACGCAATAAATGTTTAAATTTGATTTGTAAATATTGCAACAGATTATAAAAAAAATTTATTAAATCCTAGACAGCACAGAATATAAATATATGTCTTAATTTATCCTTGATTTAATAATTTTTGACTTTATGTCAACATGAGGATCGGGGTAAATCAGTCTTTTGAGAGGAAACGGATAGGATAGGCCATTCCGGAGGGTCTAAAGAAGATGGAGCTTGAGAGAACAGACACGAAGCTCCTCTCGTGCTCCGAGGCCGAGAGTCTCTAAGCCCAAACATGGCTTCCGCTTCTCTTTCCCTGTGCGCTTCCCTCGCTTCCAACCTTTCTCTCCCCCACAAGCAACAAACCTCTTCATTCCTCTCTTCTTCTTCTTCCTCTTCCACACTCTCTCTTCTCTCTCGCCTTCCCTCTCCCAAGCTCTCTTCCCCTTCCATTTTCTCTTCCCCGCGCCTTCCCTTCCCATCCCTCCCCAAATCATCGGAATCTGAGACCACACTGGCTGAGCCTGAATCTCCGGTGGCTCAGCTTGAACCTCAACTATCGGACCTTGGTGCCGTCGAAGCTGTCCAAGCCTCCCCGCAAGAGCCGGCTCCGAAGCGGGAAGAGGTTTTTGCTGTTGTGATGGTGAGTAGCAATTATCCGAATAGATAGTTTATTCAATGTGATTTGGAATTGTTAACGAATGACGGCGAACTCTCTGTAATTTTGTTAATTTTTGTTTTAATTTAGTTTCACCAAATGATTTTCTTTTGATCGAACCATCAATTTGGTCGCTAGATTGTCAGGCGGATTTAGTTTTAGTCCCTGGAAATAAAGTGTACCTAGTCCTTGTGCAATGTGGTAAGAATGGCAGCAGGAAGGTGCAACAAGTTTATTATTTTTAGGATAAAAGCTGAATATGTCTTGCCCAGCTGCATAACTGATAATTGATATCTTGAGTTTCTTTACTTTCAACTAATCCTCTTTTTGCTTTGTTTAGATTGGCTCACGTCAGTATATCGTTTTTCCTGGGCGTTTTATATATACTCAGAGGCTCAAAGGTGCTAATGTTAATGATAAGGTACAGGTCTTGCTTGCTCCTCTTTGATTGCTGCCAAATGTCCATCATTTACCGTTTTTTTTTTTTTTCGCCTTGAACTATTGTTCTCCGTCATTCCTATATTGAAACCAATGTCTTCTGTTGCCTATGTTGCTTGTGATCATTGCCCATTTGCACCTAGCAATTTCACTTGGGAGTTGACAATTTATGGAATTATTGAAGTTGCTGCTATCATTCTGTTACTGTAATGGGGGTGGCCTGGTGGAATTATTAACACAGTAGCAGTAACTTAACATAGACCAACATGTATGGATACCTAAATTACTGTATGTTATTATTGCTATTATATCTATAACCGTCATGGATGCTTCCTAAGAACATGGAACTTTTCCAACTTGGTGATATGGTTATATGAAAGGCTTAGTCCCCGGATGCATGCAAGTAACACTGCTCTCTAAAATTGTTCAGAAATTGATTGTTATAAAGGTCTGCCTAAGACTATATACTGTGTTTCTTAATATATAATTTAGACCTTATGGCCAGGCTAGTAGCTTAAGACATGTCAGTTTTTCTAATGGACCTGATGCCAAAAAAATTCATGAGTTAATTAGACCTAAAATCTTGCAAACGAACTCATCTATGAATTGTCAGCCTGCTTCCTCTGTTAGAGCAGTGGTGCTATATGGATGGATGCCTTCAATCTTAAAACCTTTTTTCCGCACTATTTATTGGAACTGAGCTTTTGAGCAGATCACCCTAAATAAGGTGTTACTGGTTGGCACAAGGACAACTACCTATATCGGTAAACCAGTGGTAACAAATGCTGTTGTTCATGCCACTGTTGAAGAGCAGGTACATCTTTTTCGCTCCTACTCCTGCAAATGGTAAAAAATTTTCTCTACCTTAGTACCTTTAATTATATAATCTGAATGCAGGGTTTAGATTCCAAAGTGATTGTCTTCAAGTATAAAAAGAAGAAGAAATATAGGAGAAATATTGGTCACCGACAGGTATTGCAGTTTTTTCTTTTCTTCTTTCAAGTAAGCTATTAATGAAAAAACTTTTGCAGTTAAATCAGGCCACTTCAAGTGGCTTCATAGTGATTTGGAAATTTGACACGAGTGTGAATTTATCCTACCTTAAAGATACTCTGAGAGACTTGTGCATTTTGCAAGTATGCATGAGTGTTTGGGGTGGAGATTGTCATATTTGCCAAAGCTAGTCCATAGCAATAACCTGTAGTGATGCATACTTGCAAACTATTTTTTGATGGATGCATCATGCATCTATCATCTCCAATCTTTGGTATTGAACTATTAATTTTTGTTCTTTTCCTTTATCATTATAAAGTTATTCTTAATAAACTCAACCAAGGATGAAAATTTATACACCTCATTATGCTTGCTGCGGTATTGCTTCTGTGTGTTCTTATCCATATTATGTTTTCTAATATTTGCTAATTCTGATTTCTATTGACTGTACAAGAAGTAGGAAAGAACAATCTCTCTCTCCCCCTCCCCCTGCTCAAGCTCAGGCACGCAGGCACATTTGCACTGCTTATTAGAGCTTTTCTATGTATGAAAAGGAAAAAACAAGGTGCTATGTAATTTCTCTTTAGGGTAGACTCTGGTGATATGGACTGGCTGAGCTTTCCAAAGTGCTTGTTAAAGAAATCCTCACCTTCGTGTGTTTTGAACATCACTTTTTTCCTCGTCTTCTGGAATTTTGGGTCAGAGACTAGTGTTATCTTTTTAAAGAAAAGTTCGTACTGATGATAATTAGTTCCTATCCTGATATGAAAAATTCGTACTCTATCCCAATTCACGACCTAATAAGAGCCCTTTATCTAATCTGGGTGTAATTTAATCTTAGTCCACATTCGGGAATAATTTTGAATATTGTAGGTTCTTATAAGCCAATGCTTAATTATTTTTATGATGCTTGACTTGGTTTCCAACTCGTTGTTACAGCCAAATACACGCATAAGGATAAATGGCATCACAGGCTATGAGGACTACCCAGCTGTTACCCTGGATTCTCTGAACTCTTCAGGGTAGATTCAAATCTCTTCTTTGCCAGTGTTTGTATCTTCTTCAATGTTACATTTAAATTTTCTGAATCAATGATGATGTGGTTGCTGAAAGTTTTATCAATGGTAGTTGTGATGCATATAGCTGTCATTTTGCTGTGAGGGTGAGAATAACGGGATGCATTTATTTATTGTTTAATTGTTAATTTATGATAGACTTTTGAGTTTGACTTCCTTCTTCCTTCCTTCCTTCCTTCCTTCCTTCCTTTCTTTTTTAATAGAACTTTAGTCCTTTTTTATAGTAATATTTCTTTAGTCCTTTTTTATAGTAATATTTCTTTCTCTGTGAAATAGAGCTAGAAACATGGGCTAGTCTGGTGGGCTGGTCTGCTTAATTCAGCAAAGTTGGGCTAATAAGCAGGCCAAGTCTTGGCTTCTTGGTCTTCTTAATAAATACCCCTCCAATCCTTTTTATAGGGTAGAAAGAAAGTTTTTTTTATCCTATTTATAAATCACATAATTAAGTTTTCATCACAAGTGATCTTTGACCCTCTATTGAACGTTGGAAAGAAAAAATATATTGTTAGAGTATGTATATTTAATAAGAGATAAAGTTGATAATTTTTAAATTTGTTGATAGAGTTAATGAGTTATAAAATTTTTTTGATTCCGGTGAAACATGTTGGAAATGATTTATAAATAAGATTATAGTAGTAAATAAATTTGTTTATTTTATTCATATTGTTAACTACTAATAAATTAATAATAACTTCTAACTTCCTCTTCTCAAACTTTGCTAGAATGGCAAGTTTTTTGAAAGTTAGTGTTTATGTTGGCTCTCTTGTAGTTTTATGCTTATTTGTTTTTTGAGAATCATCCCCTCTCCGAAACTATTAAGAAAACTAGGGAGCTTACTATATAAATTAGATAATCAATTTTAATCACATGCTTAAAGAATTTAATAAATATACTAATTGATTAGTGCATTAAGCTTCTAATGATTATTTAGATATTAAATTTTCAGACTTTCTGCACTTAAGGTGGTATAATTTTTTGTACTTTGTCTGTTTTCCTTTGCTCTTGCATGCTCTTTCTATGGCCTTGTATTTGAAAAAAAAAGTACATTTCTCATTCAATTAAGTCAAACCAGATCAATAATAATAAAGATGTTTTTATTAATCTAATTCAAATATATTGTAGTATATCTCATTTGAATTAGGAAATTGATATGCATGTCATTCAACAAAATCTATGAGAATATACCAGATCAAGAAATCAGGCGTAGAAACATGCAGCATAGAGGATTCCTTAATATGCAAGTCCTCCAAGCAGGTTACCTTGCGGCTTGCATGATTCCAAAAGAAAATAAATGCAGAAATAGAACAAATGTGCGAGGGGTTAATTGTCACTAGCTTGAAACTTACTTGGGGTCAAAATATAATTTTGGGAGAATGACAAGTAAGAACTTGTAAGAGAGTTAGTGGCAAATTAGAATTTCAGTACTAAAACGTAAGAAAAGGAGCACTGAATTTGGGAATTTTATTATTGAAAAAAAAATCATAATTTGACACTAACTTTCTTCTGGGGTACTTTTGTCATTCTCCCTATACTTTTCTATTTACAGTAAGCATATTGATTATTGGGTGAGCAGAATGAAATCCATCATTTATCAAATCTTATAATACCCTACTGGAATATGAAAATGGGCAAGTTAATGGATACCTAACATTTATGTTTTTCTACTTGGTTTTTGTTACTATGTTTAAAATGAGGTTTGAATAAACTCCATCTGTCCTTTTATTTTAATTTCATCTCTTAGCATCCTAGAAAATTTGGTGTATTATCACCTTCCGTCCAAACTAATTCAAGTCTCTGATCGTTAACTTCCATTCTAATTTATTAAATACTTTTAAATCATATCACACATATTAATAAAGTTTATTAAATATATTTTACAATCTTATTTTTCTTTTTAAGAAAGAAATATGAATTTTTACAAATGGCCTCCAATTAATACTCTATTAGTGAAAGAAAATTAAAAAGAAAAAATATAATTGGAAGGGCAATATTATAAAAATATTGTTAATGAAATTTTATTTTTATCAAAGTATCTTATATTTTAAAATATCAAATCTCTTTTAAAAGTATCTTATAAATTGAGATAGAAATAGTATTGTTATGATATTTCCAAACTTAATAAAATTGAATGGTTGGAGTAATAAAATTGCGGCAAGTGTTGTAATAATAGTGGATAAATGATATAAAATCTCCCAAATTATATAAATGATAATATGATCTATTAAATGTTATAATTTCACTAAGTTCTTGGGGACTTTTGTGACAGTAAATTATAAAGTAAAAAAATTATTTTATCTTTATTAAAAATAACATGCCTCAATAACAACTTTTATTTAAAGAAAAAAAAAATTATAATTTGTCTAAGTATAATTTATGTTATTGAAAAAAACCTCAATCATAATTTTTGCTTAAAAAATAATAACTTTTATTCTATAAATTATAAGAATTGAATAATAAATCATAACTTATTAAGTGTAATTTTTGTTATTAAAAAATAAATTTTAAAATAATAAGCTGCAATCACAATTTTTTTAAAAAATAACGTTTTAATTTAAAAAAATTTCAAGAATTAAAAAAAAATTATAATTTGTCAATAAAAGTAAAATAATTTTCTCAACTTAAAATTTATTGATACAGAAGTCTTTAAAAATTTTAGTGAAATTATAGTTTTTCAAGAGATTAAATTGTTATTTATATAATTTAAAAATATTTTATTACCATTTTTCTAATAATAAACGCACCCTCACATTTTAATATCAATACTTTATTATTAAAATGGATTATGAAAAGTAACTTACACAATTAAAACTTTAAAAGTAAAGGTCAAAATATAATTTTCTATTGACAGTGAGCATACTGATTATTGGGTGGGTGGAATGAAATCTATCTATTTCCATAAACAGCCCCGCATTCTATTTCCATACTTGTTGATAAGTACCCCTCCACTAGCCGCTTTGCCATCACGAACTGAGAAAGCCCCATCAACATAAATAATTCTCGTGCCATCATAGCAATCATCAATAACGGTTGTTGTTTGAGAATGATCATGATTCCCTTAAACTTGGGTTCCTTAGCTTCAGTTGAACTCTGTTCATACATCTGATGATGCCCTGTGCATGTGCGCCAAGAGACATGATAGGTGTGCTTGAATTTTGAAAAATCCTATCATTCCTTTGTCTCCATAGAAGCCAGTGAACCACCGAGAACCAAGCACTCCAATCACTGCCAACATATATCACTACTCAAGTTCCACCTGCACCACTCCCACAAACCCATCTTAAAGAACTTATCCAGAAATTCAGGCCGCACGTTTCAATGCCATAATTTGTGTATTGAAGGGAAATCCTGAAGTAAATGTAATACATCCTCCACACCATAGTTGCATTCAGAACAAGAAGCACTCGCACACATATTCTGCTTACATCTGCGTTCATTCGTGAGCAGGCGATCATGAAGGACAAGCCACATAAATGATTTGCATCGTTGGGGCACTTTAACTTCCATAATCTCCTCCATAACAGAGAGGCAGGTGTATCATCCTCTCGAAGTAGAGCATACGCTGATTTGACAGAGAAGTGACTGTTCTTTTCAAACTTCCACCTTACGTCTACTTCACCGTTGGCATTCGCCACACTTTCTAACCCAGATTCAAACAAATACCAAATTTGCTTTGTGCCACTCCAAAGTCGAGATCCTGGATGAGTTCGGTCAACTTTAGGAATAAGATCTTCGTTATATTTATATTACTACAAACCACCCGCGCCCAAAGAGAATCCCTTTTGCGAGTAAGACCCCACCCATCTTCATTAAGAAAGTTTGGTTTTGGCTTTTCAAATGTCAAACCCCCAGACCACCTTGCTTCTTATCACGACAGACATTCTCCACGACGCCAAATGGATCCTCTTCTTTTCACTTGTTGATCCCCAGAGAAAACCCATAGATGCTCGTTCGATTTCATCACAAACAAGGCTCGGTAACATAACTGTTTGCATGGGGTAGGAAGGTATGGTGAACAAGACTTGACGTGACAATAGTGTTGCGCCCAGCCAAGGAAAGACGAGATGCCTTTCAGTTACTAAGTCGACCTTTCGCATGGCTACAAGTAACCTTAATCACCCTCCCATGATGCATTGGCACCCCCAAATACTTACCCAAATCAGCAGCAGGAGCAAATCCTAGAAGAGTACTTAATTGATTGACTCGGGTATGGTTAACATTTGCAGAGAAAAATACTGGAGTCTTCAATTGGTTAACACGTTGACTCGAAGCACTACAGAATTTGTCAAGACATCACTTGATAACCTCAACTTGGTCAACTGCTGCATCTATAAAACTAACAATATTATCTGAAAAGAACAAATGGGAGAGAGCACAGGGTGGAGCTAGGAATTTTTATTAAGAGAAACTGAGATGATAAAGTATATATGATAATTAAAAAAATTTAAAATATACTCCCTTCGTTCAAAAAATATAAAGCATTTTTTAAAAGTTGGGTGTTAAAAAATGTAAATTATTTTTAATCTTTCAAGGTGTAATCATTGCTTTTTTTTTTTAAAGTATCCCCTATTGATAGTGACTTTATATTTATTATAGGATGTTTAATAGGGATAAATATAGAAAGATGGGATTAGTTTAAAAGTAAGTAGTTACTTTATTGGAGGTGAGAATTAGTTAAAAATGTCTTACATTTTTGAACGGAAGGAGTATATATTTATATCAATCACTGACATAATATAAATATTTTAACATATATATTTATATTCAATTATACATATATAACAATATATATATATATATATATTAAGTTTTACTTATCGATTTTTCATGATATAAAAATCATTAGTTATCATGTCTAGGATAAATATTTTAGCAATTTCCTTCTCAATATAAATTATCATTAAATTAGTAAAAATTTTATCATCCCTATGAGTATTAAATGATTTAAATATATCATTGAAATTTAAAATTTTGTTCAATATAATAAACTCTATTACTTACTTATTGAATTTATTATTTAATTCTTTTAATTGATATTGTAGTAAATAAATATATTAACACATTAATAATGCTCAATTGTCATAAAATTTTTATATCAATGAAATCGAATTATATCAGAGTAAAAACTATTCATATCATAAATTTTAATAACTTGATTATTAAAAAATTTTAGAAGAACATCTTCACCAAACCTTTTAACTTTTGAATAAGTGATTTATGATAAATATCAAGCACATAACATTCAATATATCTTGAAATTTTTGTTGCAATGCTTAAAAAAGTTTGTTAATAATAGTTGTCATAATTCTTTTCATTAAATATCAAATGAAAGCAAAATAAAATAATATCAATACTTTAAGAACATGTATAGCATTTATTATTAAAAATAAATAGATCTTATGATAACTATATCTTCAAACTATTGAAATAGTTGCTTTATACATATGTAAAAAACTACACATAAAATTAAAATAAAAATTTTATCTAATATTTCATAACTAGTATAATGTTCTAACTTATAGGAGCCGAAAAATTATAAATCCAATATTTTATTAAAAAAAATTAAAAAGTTAGGAGGGTCGTGGCCCCTGCCAATCCTCCCTCTCTCAACCCCTAAAGCTAGCCCTATTTTAGCGAGGCATATAGGTGGTCAAGTACCATCACTAATCTCATCTTGAATAAAAAATATCTTATAATTTAGGCTAAAGAGAATAATAGCCAACTTGAATATGAAAAGGGGTAGGGTGAAGTTGATAGATGCTTGACATTAATTTCATTTATATCACTTCTTTCCTATGCTTGTATTTTTATACTTGATTTTTATTGCCATGTTTAAAATGTGGTTTGAATATATTGTTAGGAAAATTACATTTAAGTTCTACAAAATATTCTCAAATACTAAATCATATATATTTACAATTTGACTAGGTGTGTTTACAATTGAACAACGAATATTTATAATTTATAAAAGTAAATGATAACTTGTAATAGCAAGTTGTAAATACTCATTACCCAACGATAAATATCTTTAACCAAGTTATAAATATATAGAATTTGAAACTTGAGAATATTTTATAAATTTTAAAAAATATTTTAGTAATAAATTTTCTTTTATGAAACTTGATAAAATTGACTGATGGGAATAATAAAATTGTGGTAAATGTTGGAATAATAAACCGCACCATCACTGCATCACATTTGACAATTCAATACTTTATTATTAAAATGGATGGATTATCAAAAGTAACTACCACAATTAAAAATAAAGGTTCTTAATGTAAGACATTTGAGAAAAATATTTATTATCATTTTTTAATTTTATTCATGTTATATATTTAATTTTACAACTCATTGTGTATTATACGATATCTCTCTTCTTATATTTAATAAGAGAAATTTGAGAAATTTTTTTATTTTAAGACACATTTAATAAATTAATTAAAACCCCTTATAATAGGAATCAAAATGAGTATTTGTTATATTAAAATTATAAATTTAAATTTTTAATTAATTAATATTAATTTAATATTTATATATCTAAATCTATATGCCCGTGGGGATTCGTGCTAATTTAAATAAAATAAAAAAGTAGGGGTTGGGGCAAAGAAAAAAGTTAGTTGGGTTCCCTGTTTCGTAATCCCTCGGTATTTAACGTGGCATCGATTCAGGCAAAAAAAAAATAAAATAGAGGCCTTGCATGAGGAGCCCACAGTGCGAAAAGCAGTCATCAAATCTCAAATCGCTAAATCTCTTTGGTGCGTCCCTGTTGAGTTCGAGCCCGGCTATCTTCGCCCTCTCTCTCTCTCCCCTCCTATCTCTTTCTCTAAATTCGTCTCTTTTCGCCGGCGGGACACGATGTCGGGGAAGGGCGCGAAGGGTTTGATCACAGGCAAGACTCCCGCCGCCAACAAAGACAAGGACAAGAAGAAGCCTATCTCCCGTTCTTCTCGTGCTGGTCTTCAGGTATTTCTCTAGATCTGTGTCTTTTTATTATTCCTTCTGGGATCTTCTCATCCTTAGGTTAATCTCCTTCGCTCAATGTTTCTGTATATGACTTTCGTTGGTAGAGGGAGAAATGTGTGTGTGTGTGTGTGTGTGTGTGTGTGTGTGTGTGTGTGTGTGTGTTGTCCTGAAACTTCGTGGTTTTGCCTCTTTGTTTACATTACTGTGTATGAGCGCGACATTTGTATTAAACTTGGTCAGAAAGTTCATGGATTTCGATTGTTTAATTGCTTAGTTGTGTGTAACTACAACCTTTTGTATTTGGTTATTGGTTAGTCGCCAATGGAAGGCGCGACTGTTGAAAGATGTGTTCTGTATCGCGCTGTTACTTGCACTGTTCTACATCCTTGAAATGGGCAGCAGTTCGACTACTGGACTCTCAAAATTGAATCTTTCTTTTCCTTAAATATTCGAAGTTGGCCTGCAATGTTCAATAGGAGGATTTAATCTTCCAACTAAACTTGGAAATGTTATGCTGCTGATTTTTTATTTTAGAATGGTTAGGCAGGCAGGCAGGCAAGTTGGGAAACCAATCAATGTGTTCAAAATTGCCGCTATTATTTGTAATGTTACATTCATGAACTGGGTGGCAGTTTGACTACTCGACTCTTAAATTGAATCGTTATTTTCCTCAAACATGTGTAGTTGGCTACAAGATTGAATAGGAGGGGTTACTCTTCCAATTAAACCTGGAAATGTTATGTTGCTAATTTTTTATATTGGAATGGAGAATGGTTGGGTAGGTAGACAAATGTGTTGGTAAAACAACCAATGTGCTAGGTAGACAAATCAGTAGACCATGCTGTTGCCCACCTGTTTGGGTAATTTTTGGGGCCGGGGAGTGGTTGGCTTGAACTGCATTGCAGCGCCATTGATTCTGAAATTTTGCCCTTCCATGCTCGCTGATGGAGGAGGGGATTCTAGCTATTCTCAATGCTATTTCTAATTTTATTTGAGACATTCACTTTGTTTTGCAGTATGCAATAAGCTTTTTGAAGGTGCTTTTGTTTCATTTACTGCTTGGAAGTGTTTGTCTGATATTATTGTTCCACACATTTTGGTCTATGGCAAGACAATTCTGTTTCTTTTTTGTCTGATATGATTGTCCCCGCGTGTTGGTCTATGGAAAGACATTTTTTTCCCTTGCCCCCCCTTTAGTGTCTTTGGTTTTTAGGTATATTTGCAATATAGTTGGTTTCATCTTGGTTATGGGAGGGGCTTAAAGGGGTGAGAGTTTCTATTGTAACGTGATATTTCTTTGGGGCGCTGTTAAACCACTAGATCAGGACTATAGAAAAGAAAATAATAGGGAGACATATACTAAAATGAAACAGATAGTGCTGGTGGTTTTATTGATTGTAATAAGTGCATACGAGCTGCTTGTTCTTCTTTAATATTTGTTTCTTCTATCTGCACAATCTGCAGTTTCCAGTTGGACGAATCCACAGGCTGTTGAAGTCAAGGACAACGGCTAATGGTAGAGTAGGAGCCACAGCTGCTGTGTACTCTGCTGCTATCTTGGAATATTTAACAGCTGAAGTTTTGGAGCTGGCTGGGAATGCTAGCAAGGATCTTAAGGTTAAGCGTATTACTCCTAGGCATCTACAACTTGCTATCCGGGGTGACGAAGAACTTGATACATTGATAAAAGGAACAATTGCTGGAGGAGGTGTTATCCCTCATATTCATAAATCCCTCATCAACAAGTCTTCCAAGGAGTAGATTACTGAAGAGCTACTTGATTAAATATTCTCTCTCTCTCTGCTAACTGTGTCTTTGTTGATGTACCTCTTAAAATAGCAGGGCCAAGAAATCTACAGTTGTCATTTATCATGGATAAACTTGAGTCTTCTGTTTCTCAAGTTCGCATGTCAAAATATTAGATGTGGATATGGAATTTGATTTTCATTTCTATCTTGGGATAGCTGTTTGGTACATTGGATAACTTCAATAGCAGTGGAATTTCTTTTCTAATCATACCATTGGAATCATGCTTTTTGCCCGTTGATAAAATTCTCGTTGATGGGATACGTTTGAGGCAATGCTTTTGCACCTTTTTTTTTTTTTGGCTATTCAGTTTGACTTTTTTGGAAAAAAGAAGAAGGCCAGAGCCCTGATAAAGACCAGCAAGGTCTAAAGAAAGTATTTATAATTATGAGGAGCCTCCATCAAAATTAGACTGTGTCTATGTTATGAGTAAAATGGGCGAGTAGGTTCGATATGAAACTTCTCCTTTTCATTTCAAGACCATGAATGTGATATTAAGTTTATTTCACGGGAGAATCGCACGGAAGGACTGTTGAAGTAAGTTATTTGTTGCGGAGGACCAAAACATTCTAGAAAAGCTTTGCAGGACTGGAGGACTTAAATGAAATTAACTTTCAATGCAAATTGACCAAATTATCCCTAAAGCTTAAATTAGAAAAATGGAGCATTTGAGAACCTTTTTTCTGAGATAGACAACCCCAACTTCAACTTCTGCACAACCTCATCGTTGAAGCTCATTTTGTGTGTCTGGCAATTGATTTCTTGGGGTTTCTGTGCAATAAATGTTGTTCGCTCACTCAATCAAAGACTACGAATGGCAGCGTAAATTGAAGTGTAGGTTGGGTGTTGGGTGTTTTCTGGATTCTTAGTTTTTGTCAGTGTTGGAAGTCACGAATGAAGGTGTCTATTAAAGTGTAAGTTTGTTGTTTCTGTAAATTGTGCTTTGTGATATATTTTCGTCTTCATAAAAGGCCGTTTAGTCATGTGATTTTACCCCTTTGTTGTGATTATGTCCTTACTCCTTATTGTGAGTTGTTTGCCTCTTCCTATGTTTATAAACCTTTTCATTGCACCTGCAACTGATTTTAAAAAATGACAAGTATTGAAACCATAATCACAAGCATGTTGTGGGAAATTAACAAGTGGTTTGCCATTATAAACAAGCAGCCGAACTAAGTGCATGCTCCAGGAAATTAACAAGTGTTCTACCTTTGTTAACAAGTATGTGAACCAGAATAATTAACAACTATGCCCCAGGGAATAGAACTGACAAGTAGAGTATGACAAATTAACAAGTCCCCAAACCATAATGACAAGTATATAATTGAGTAATTTTAAATGTCATGGTACTGATACAACTATTCGATTGCATGTGGACAATTGGGTATGGTCATTAACAACTTGAGTAATTATCTCTGTCGAAGTTATGTGAATATACAAGTTATCATTTGTATATTGACAAAATGGAATATGAATATTGATATTTTGTTTTGAACTGTTGACAAGTTGTGCTTTTAATTTGTCAAGAAGTGTTTTAATATTGAGAGGGAGTATCTAGAAAATTCACAAGTATGACTATGATTCCATACATACTGGCATAATGGTGAATTGAATCAATTTCATATATTTATGTATTGTTTGTTGTGTAGGAAGAACTTGCAGAATTGAGTGTGACTTCTTGTGCTAGCTAGTGGATCATTTGAAGAGAGAAAAAGCTGCAGCTACCCTTGCTCACATAGGAGACGTCAAATCCAAACAAAAAAAGAAGGAAGAGATGATTGTCGGATAGCAACAATGCTTTTTTGTATATCTTTTGTTGAGGTTAGGAAACATGTAAAGTATTGTTTAATTGGAGTGACATGTAAATTTTGGTGGATCTATTGTGGTGGCTAGTGGATAATCCTAACAATGAAGTATTTTCAAGTGCTTTTCTGTATATCTTTTGTTGAGGTTAGGAAACATGTAAAGTACTGTTTAATTGGAGTGACATGTAAATTTTGGTGGATCTATTGTGGTGGCTAGTGGATAATCCCAACAATGAAGTATTTTCAAAGGTCCATTCACTAATTTTGTGGGTTCAAAGCACAAGCAAAAAGATGCTTCTTCTTTTGTTGCCTATAACTTCATTGTGATGACAATAGCTTATTGTGTTAGGAAATTGAAGTAGCAAAAATATAGATAACTGACTTGTGAAGTTCCACATGTGTATTGATTACTGTAACATCTTGAATTTTAGCTTCCAAATTTAATTAATTAATCAAGGATAAATAGGTAAAATTGAATGTAATTGGTTTAACGATGGTTAGAAATGATTACTAGGCATATTAGCTTTAATTTTAGCCTTTGAATCAAGTTTGATGTGAAATTAAGCCGTGTGGGACCCAATTGAAAGGTCAAACTTGGTCCAACTTTTTTGTACCAATCATCACAGTAAATGTGGTAAATGGCTTGAATTTTAAATATAACGAGATGCATCTGTAATGACTTCTATCATTAACCCCCAATAAAACTAAATAATCATGGTTAAGCAAAAAATCATTTAATGAAATCAAACTCTATATATATGGGCTTTGAAAATTAAATTAAAAATGTGGTTACATTATTCTTCAAAAACATCAGAGTATATTTAATATGTAGAAATATGGGGAAAAAAAAGAGAAAACCATAAAAAGGAATTGATAAAAGGTAGAACTAACATTTTGCAAAAAATTGTATTAGTTAGCCATGACTAAGGACTTCTTCACTGTGACCAACTAAATATGGACACATTAGCCACAGCAGATGTTACCTTCACCATGACAAACCTTACATAAACAAATTTGCCACAACCGTTGACACTCATACTGCAGTTCGTGGCACAAAGACCTTCTCGTCATGGCCTACGACCTTCTTTTTCACGACCAACACAAACACACATGCTCATTGTAACCCAACCTGTTATACATCATAGCGAACTCTACAATATTAATACAATAACATTAATAGTGAGAATATCATTCCCAAATAAATATAAGTAGTTTAAACTCATACATAAGCTACTCTAAAATTAATATATCAAATTCTGACAAGAAGCAAGGGTCATTAATCATGTCAATACATTTATATGGATGGTCTTTCTCAAGACATAAGATGAAACAATCAAAATGCCCAAGTTAAATGCTAGGCTTATGCAATTGAAACATAATCAAAACATGTACAAATCCCTAATGTCGACTATAATAAGTATTTAATTAGTAAACTAAATAGCTAGAGACTTTACTTATGTATTTAAGCATCTTAGTCCTCAATGCTTTTCCCTTTGCATTACTCTTAGCATTCTTGGAAAAATGTTAACAAATGAGTAGAATTGGGAATAAGTGCTAGGTCTAGAGGGCCAGACCTAAAGGCCTGTTTAAATAAGAGTTCGGGCTTTAAAAATTAACTTTTTTTTAAAGTAATCGGGTTTGAGAGCTTGGCCTTGATAAACCCTGTAAAAAAAGATCAGGCTTAAGTGGCCCTTCAAGTCCTGTTATATTATTATTAATTTTTTTCTTTGATGGAACACGAGTTTGAAGCGAAGAACAACCTATTTGCCTGAAACCTTGATCGTACACACATTATATTATTATTAATTTTAATTTATTCTAAAATTAATTTAATATAATTTAATAAATATCAATGTACAGTATACAATTTTTAATATTTTTTATTTTTTTATAATTATTATGTTTGTGTACTTATAAAAAAATGAACTTTTTTTAACCAAGATTTAAATTTTCTTACTAGACTACTAAATGTGTGTAGTTTAATTTGTAAAAGATTATGAGAATTTTTATTTTTTTTTCAAATTTAGAATATTTTAATTAATTTATAGTACTTAATTTTATTTTAATTTTATTTTAATTTTTTTAATTTTTTCCATAACAGGGCTTACAGGCCCAACCTTGAGCCCTTCAAATAAAAGCCGAGCCTAAAAAAAGAGGTGAAAAATGAGAAACTGGGCCTAAAGGCTAAGCACATAAGGGCCGGGTCCGCTCCTTTTTCCAACACTACAAATGAGAGTGAAATTATATAATCTCAATAACCAAAACATATAAATTCAAGTATATAAAAGTGTGGCAAATACAAGCATTTAACGTATAATTTCACATTTAATATTTCATTGATAAGCAACGTATATCATAATACTACTTACCATATATCACATGACATTTAACTTGATGATAACAAGTATGCATGATCATAAGCAATTATCCTTATTCTTCTCCTTATATTTTCTAACTAAATTTATAAGCTATCAAATTATATAAGACTAAATCATGTGACTGGATTAGGTTCGTTCTCCAATTGTGAAGGGTTACCCAAACCTGGTATCCGCTCTCCACTCTTGAACCATGGATTCCCTCTATTTAAATTTCAAGATGTTATAATTGCTCGATCCACACTAACCTCATAGGAATTGGTGATACTGAATATCGTGCTCGATCCATACCATACCTATTTAGATATGCCAACCATTGTGGGCAAACTCAATGGAGGTCATACCACATGAATTTTTCGATCTTACCTTCAACTACTCTTAGGTGAACTCCCACCTATTATAGTAATGCAAGTTCAACATACATATACATATACATATACATACACATACTCATATCCATATTTCAATGACTTATTAATGTCATGATTCATGAACTTGCATGCATTTCTCACCACATATATCATCATACCTAGTTATAACACATAACTTTATGACCACATAATCATGTGAGACATTCTCATCCATAGCAATATCCACATAAGGAACAAGTTTCACAATTCAAATTCCAACCTTTCAGACCACATAATCATACTCATGCAACATACTCATATTATTAAATGATATATCTTAAATAAAAAATTAATTAACTTATCTTACAATCAAGTGTATGCCATCAAGTCAAGACCATTTAATCAACATTTAACCTCTCACCATAATCATATGTTCATGCTTATCATAACACCAAGCATTCAATTAAGTACAAGTTACAACTCAATCATGCACTCAACACATCATTGTTCATACTTATCATAGCCACATAATTCTCAATTATCAATTCTAATATGCTTGCATTTTCATATTACCAAGCAATTAACACAACTCATAATTGTAAACAATAATTTTCTACTAAAATTTAACTCTCAATTATCTCAACTCTTAATTTACCAAACCAAGAGTATACTTGAGTTGCCATTAAATCCTCCAATCATACACACGAGCTCTAATAGTAGTCAATTTGCAATTTACCATCGTCAGACATTCTTAATGACTAATTGTCATTAATTAGCTCTTAACCACGTTAAGGCTTAAAATCCTAACTAGTGATATTAACAATAAACAATCACATTTTTAACTTTCATTAGCTTAAACTTAATCACCAAAATTATCAATATACTTATATATCATTTATCTAGTCTCTACATCCTTGAATCTTCATAAACATCTCCCCTCAAGTCTAGTGTTTTTGGATTTTAACATTCCATTACAAAATCATTATCAAAACTACCTAAAAAACACTTATTTAACCTCAAACAACGCAAATAATTCGAACTCAAAGGTTGGTTACCTCAAAAACGAACACCTTACATTATCCATTACATAAACTATCTTAAAGAGAATATTAGAAGGTAAGAGATAGATTAGAAGTGTTACCTTGAGTGATTATGAATTAAAATTCGTGCCTTGATATTAGAAACTCCAAAACCCTAGCAAAACTCTTCAAAAATCCCCTCAAACCTCTCAAAAACTCAAGTATCATGGTTTGATTCACAATAGAGTATTTAAATCTGAAAACATGATGCTCACTGTGGCCAATGGTATAATTTCATTGACCTGTTTTAAAAAACTCATAATTAATTTTACACATATCTAAAAATTGTAAATTAAAACTCTATAAAAAGCTTGAGATGTCTATTTTTTGCTAGCAAAATAAATTACTCAAAATATATTATCATTTGCCCCTTGGAAATATTTGATTATGAAGATAGTTTTTTCTTCCAAGCCATAATTAACTATAAAATCATTTTTTAATGTATTTAAATACCCTTAAATTCTCTTAAAATATTATTGACCTAATTAAATCAATATTATCCCAAGGTACAAAGACACAGGATCTCTGGGCCTATCTAAAAAAAAAAATGCATGAATGGTTAAATACGCGAGTGGATGAAGGTAATTGATGCATCAAGTTGCACTGCTAGTACCTCTGTTTAAAAAAATAAACAAAAAAAAAAGACTTTTAATGATTATAAGAATATAAGAAACATAAAAAAAGTGGAAAAAGAATTCATTTTCAGTCATGCAAAGAAGATCTTGCAATTTTTCAGGCAAGAGAAACTATGTGTTCAGAATTTGAACCATGTTTTGAATGTTTCAAGAATTTTACAGTTAAACAAGTACAGACCAACAAAAAGATTCTTAAGACACAAATCCCAGCAGAATCGTAGCTGAACCACCAATAACAACCATAATAAAAGCCCACCACAACTAGGCATAACAAAAGCCCACCACAACCAGGACCTACCACCATTCCCAAGCAATTCCTACAACAATCTTATCTCTGAAAGCAGTCATCACGAATTAGAGGAAACTCAAGTAAGAAGATTCAAGTTTCAACAGGCAAAATGGCCACTACATGATGCCGATTCACTCCCAATAAAAGAATCTATTCATCGTTTAGATGGTTGAAACCCTGGGAACATCAACAGGGAAGTTGTGAATTTCCCCCATCCAAGGGTTCTTCTCCTTCTCAGGCTTGATTGTTCTGAGTGCCTTCCACACCGCACTGTTACACTTGAATCCAGAACCAAATGCTATCTGCCATGTTCTGTCTCCCTTTCTTATCCTCCCTTTGGACTCTGTGTAAGCCAACTCGTACCAAAGTGAACTGCTAGATGTGTTGCCAAACCGGTAAAGTGTCATCCTTGATGGTTCCATATGCCAAGGAGACAGCTGCAAGTTCTTCTCCAGTTCATCTAGCACAGCTCTACCTCCAGCATGGATGCAGAAGTGTTCAAAAGCTAGCTTGAAGTCTGGAATGTAAGGTTTGATCTTCATCTTGAAAAGCTTCTTCCCAACTAAAGTAGCGAAGAATAGCAACTGCTCTGACATTGGAAGGACAAGAGGTCCCAGTGTGGTAATGTTAGTTTTCAAAGCATCACCTGCAACAGCCATGAGATCTCTTGACAAAGTGACACCAACCTTGCCTTCAGCATCTTCTTCTTGGGTAACACAGGAAAAGCACTTGTCATCAGCAGCCTTGTTAGTCCGAACAGTATGGACCAACCGGTATTTTGATCTTCTCCTGTCAGAGGATTTGTTTGAAAGCAGAACCGCAGCTCCTCCCATACGAAACAAACAATTTGAGACAAGCTTTGACCGGTCATTTCCAAAATACCAGTTCAATGTAATGTTCTCCATGCTAATGACCAATGCATATGAGTTGGGATGGACCTGGAGAAGATCTTTGGCAAGATCAATTGAGATCAGTCCTGCACTGCAACCCATCCCACCAAGATTGTAGCTCCTTATATTCCCTCGTAACTTGTAATGGTTGACAACCATTGCAGACAGTGATGGAGTTGGGTTAAAAAGGCTGCAATTCACAATCAAAATTCCTATGTCCTTAGGCTTTACAGAGGTCTTAGCAAATAGCTCATCTATAGCACCAAACATCACAATCTCAGCTTCTTTTCTGGCCTCTGCCATTGAAGGGTTAGGAGGAATATTGAGGACAGCCTCTGGAAGGTAAGTGTTTTCACCAAGACCAGATCTCTCAAGGATCTTACGCTGGAATGCAAGATTTTCCTCTGTAAAAGAACCAGTCATCTGGGATTGATCTACAAACATCCTCTTCGTGCATCTTCGAGATTCATCAGGCTTGTAACAGGAGAAATTGACAAGATAAACTGGTCGGGGGCGGGTCATAAAGTAGAGGGTAGACAGAAAAACAAGGAGTGTTGAGCAAATAATAACAGATATTAAATTGTACTGTAGATGCTCCCAAAGATCATAGAGGTCTTGGAGGGAGAAAGTAGAGAGCTGTGCTGCAATTAGCACCACGAGAGGGGAAACAAAGAGGTACATCCCATGGGTAATGAGGTAGTGATAACCAAGCTTGACATACTTCAATTTGACAGACTTTTTGAAATCAGGAAGGTTCCGCGATGATGGTGGTATCAAGGGTTTATCTGGTTGATTTTCCGTCATGCTTCCTGCTCAAAATTTGAATTCATCTGGTTAGATAACCTCATGAAATGAAAGTATCATCACAAGGGGGATTAAGAAATCCCCAAGGATAAATCAGCTAACAAGATAACAACTAGCAAAAAAATTCCTTCAATAATTCATTCGAATCCAAAATTCTTTCTCCACGTTAAATTTATAGAACCAGGTTGGGAAATCGATTTGTGTAAGATTAGAAACATGCATGACAAAAAGCAGCCAAACATAATCATTTCTACACATCAGACAGCGGCATTCCCAGATCTTCTCAAATCAAATAAGCATGGGACCACATTCATGCAAAACACAAACAGATTGAATGGTGCTGAAGAGAACAATGCGGAATTCGTGGCGAGATTTCAATTCCCATTAAAGTTTCAAGAAACCAATTGCAGTAAAAAAAAGAAATATCGCTGACATAAGGGGGAAAAAATCAAGCATCGGAAGGAACAGCCCAATCGCGACATGAAACCCAAAAAAAAGGTTTACCTTGAAAGCCAATCCGACCGCAGATCGCAGAGAGAAAGAGAGAGAGCAAAGAGGAATCAAGAAAGACAGAGAAGAAAGAACTGAAATTGGCAAAAAAGGGAGTGTTTAAAAAAGGGCATAATCGTTGAGGGCGGCGCTGTCGCGTATTGACCAGATGAGTCACTGCGACATTGCCGTTGGAGATGTCGCTAGCCAGCACCAGCCTGGAATTTCGACTACGATTCTCACACAAAAATGGGAAAGCTCGTTAATAATAAAATAATAATAATAAAGGAAAATATCATTTCATGTCTTTTTTCTATAATCTTATTTCGTTTTTAGTCCTTTATTTTATTTTTGTTCTTTTTCATCGCTTCTATTTAATCCATTTGTAATATTAATTCTTTTAGTTTGAAAAATATATTTATAATGACCATGAACTCGCTCAAACGGTATTTTTTTTTTATGGAATTAAATCATGCTCCTTCTAGATCCAGATATAGAGTATGGAAAATTGTTTAAAAAAAGAGTTAGATGAAACATTAATTGTTTAAAAAAATTTACATCTTTTTAATTATACCATCATGAAATATCTTATATAAGTATTTTAATAATAACCATTAAAATTTTAACATATTATTTGTTCGAAAGAAATAATAGACAAAATAGCTAGCTGAAAAAATAATTATAAAAACTGCATAATGCATTATATTTTGAGCCAAATAGAATTTTTAAGAGATGTATTATACTGTAATCCAAAATGAGTATTCATAATTTAGAAAGGAAATGTACTCCTTTTTTCTTTATATATAAAATATTTTTAATTAAATTCTGCATATTAATAAAACTTTATTATTTAGTTAAAATTAAGTTAAGTCACAATAGTTTTTCAATTGTGGTCCTAATAATGTCAATTAATATTATGGTGCAACGGCTAAAGCACACAATTTATATTTCTTTTCTTTTTTAAGACGAGCAAAATTTTATAATTACTTAAAAATATTATGATATTTTTTATATTTAAAAATAAAATAAATTTTTAAAAAACACGGGGTACGTACGTACACACATATATGTACACGAACACAGGAAGGACATGTTAAGTCTATTTTAGCCCCAAAAAAAAAAAATTTAAGCTAGCCTATTAATTTAATGGGTTTTGGGAGAAGCAATGTAGACCAATTGAACTGTGAATTGTGAAATATGTTAAATCCTTTTTAGTAAAATAAAATTAAAAAAAAAACTGTTTTAAGCCCCCTCATGATTTTATGAGTATTTTTTAAACTCTAAGAACTAAAATTCCAAAAAAAATCAAATAAAAGGGATGAAATTTGTTTAGGTGGATTATCTCTACTCTTTCACAGCTACGTAATAAAGGTTTAGACCTTCAGCTAAGAGGCATAATTATTTTGCTCCATCTAATTTGAACGAAAAGAAATCTAGTTTTTAAAATTTCATCAGACTTGTTTTTATCTGTTGAATATTTACCGGTGATCTTAGTAGACTAAATTGCAGCCTTCTATTCATCACTTCGATTCCTCATCCAGCTCTTCAAATTGTGGCACTAAAATACCATATTTTTTTGGTTTGTAATGATAGAATGAGGAAATACAAGATTAGAGGAATTACTCTTTGCTAATATTTGTTTTATTGCAATTCAGTTCTTTTATAGAGCATCAAATGGATATGTTTGATCACCATAAAACCCAATTATTTTGCTTTAACATGTGTCAATGCTTATCTCCATAACACTCCTTCTTTGCATCTTCCTCCAATTTTTTAACGAAAAAACCTTTTTCATGGATTATTAATAGAAGATTCTTTGCTCCACCATTTAATGCCAGACAACCACAAGTTAGTTATACTATTCAGCATGGTTGACGTTAATATTTCTCATGATCTTCTTCTTTTCTTCCTCCTTGTTCTTTAGACTTTTTTTTACTACTCATGTATTGTAATCTCTTGTTTCTTAACGTTATTATTGATATTTTTATTTTGAAAAAAAGATGAAAACAACAAAAATGAATTACTGAGATTAAAAATAAAGGGACAAAGTGGAAAAATATAAAAAAAAATTATCAATCAAGAACATCCAATAACTTAAAATTAGAGAAAATACACAAATACTCATAAAATTATTTTTTTGATGCATTTGTAATTAAAAGTCAAAGAAATTAACCGTTATGTTTTGAATATGAAATTTAACAATTTAATTACAGATGCACCAGAAAATTAATTTTATGGACACTTAAGTATATTTTTTTATTTTAAGTTATTGAATACTTATAATTAATGACTTTTTAGATATTTTTACCCATTTACCTAAAATAAAATGTAACTAAAGTATACGGTCAGGGAGTGGTATTTTTCCTAATAATAATTAAGTATATAATAAAATCACGAGGCACGCGATCCTTCCCCCTTGCCTCCACGCTCGTTCCAATTCGTATTCTAGAAGGTCCAGAAGCTCTCTCGTTCACGTTTGGCTGGAAAATTCTGTTTTGATAACGTTCCGACTTCTATGTTTTTCTTTTCTGTTTTGACTACAAACCCACCTTAATTCAAATTAAAAAATAAAATGATTAGATGATTTTTAAGGTTGTTGACTCTCTCAAAATTACAACATAATCTTCTAAATATTATACAAAATATAAATAATAATTTTAAAAATATTATTTTTAATTATGAAAATGAAAATACTAATTTTGGAGCTTCGAATAAAAGAGTTAATTTTTAATGTATTTTAAGATATTCATCACCTTAAATATTAAAATTTGTTTGTTAAATAAATGAGTCATTGGTATATTTTTCTTGATTGTTAATTAGTCAATACAATTAGCAATAAAACTGATTTTAAAAAAATTAATTTTTGATTCATTTTTGGACTAATTAAGAAGAATAAAGGGGATACAGCTTTTCTAAAAGAAGCTCAGTTTTGAAAAAAAACAAACCATTTGACGTGGAACAACAGAACAAGAGGATCAGTTATTGGTGTTTAGTGTTTTTGAAAGGTTGGGTGATTTGCTTTTGTGAAGTTCAGGTAAGGATGGTGTTTTTGGGTAATGGAGATGTTTATGGAGTTGGCTAGAGGGAGAAATTCCAGAAATTCTTCCTATGTATAAAGTTTATATATATATATATATATATATGATTATTTGATTGGGCTATATTTCAATATTGTTAGGCTCAATTAAAGATAACAATCTTTAAAAGTATTTTCTACATTTATATGAACTCAAACCTAAAATATCATACTTAAACAATCATAACTCATTTCACAGGTACTAATGCTAATTAGCAGTTATAGAGTTCTTGAGATCTAGTCATAATCCTAATGATAAAAGACAATTGAAGAAATTATGACAATAAAATAAAAGTTGATCCAAGTAATGTATTTTTCTTAATCTATAATATAATTCATTTCTTGATCTTCTACAAATTTCCACCTCTTTTCAATGGCATCCTTGAGTAAAATAAATATAATATTTAACTTATTTAAAATGTCATCATTAATAACTTTAATAGAATATAAAAAAGAAAGTGTACAATATATATATATATATATATAATTTATCAAATGTCTTATATTTTGGATGGTGCAAGATTTTTAAAAAATGTCTTATAATATAGTTGAAATAGAGTAAAATATTGCATTTATTTCAACAAACCTTTAACTAAGTCTAACAAATTGTTGTCATGAAAATTAAAAGCCTATATCTACTCTTTTCGTCTTTATATACAAGAAATTTTTTAAAATTTTTTTATTCCTAAATATAAAAAGTTGTTAGCATATTTTTTAATGAATAGATCATTATACTCTTATTAAATTGAACAGAAAAAAGATAAGTAATCTCATTAATTTACTTTGAAAACAAATATTTTTTATTTATAATGAATGGAGGTAAAATTGAAATATTGTTGTGTTTTTAATTAAATAACTAATTTTTATTAGTTTGTATGATTTGATTAAAAATATTTTTTATATAAAGATAGAGGGAGTAATTAATTCAATATATTGGAACCATTATATTGAAATACGGATTGGAAGGGGAAAAAAACAACAAACTGCACAAATTTTGGAATGGACAATGTTCATATTTTGAAACTTAACAAGAAATTGAGTTGAAAGTAACATTAAATAAAGGAAACAATAAAGCAATGATACATGTTTACAATAATTAATAATTAATAAATGTGAATGAAAAGTGAAAAGTTCAGACAAAAAAGTTTTCATCATCATTAAAGAACTGAGGTCGTGATCAAGAAACTATTAAAAAATATTCAATTATTTGACCAATTAAATATAGTAATGCTTTAAAGGGCAAATGACAATTATGAACCCAAGAATATTAATTGCAATTACAAACACAAATTATTAAAATCTTAATAGTAAACCATGATTTCTATTTGCAATTAAAAAAAGTAATAGCCATTTGAAAAATCAACAAAATACATTTGGTATTATTTATAATTAGGGGTGTTCAGCTTGAATCCATTCCAATTGGCCTCATATTATCCCGATCATATCAGGACGGGTCTTGTCCCAACCCAAAAATAATTAAGACAAGACTTTATGGGACGGGATAGGAAAGGGATTTGGAATGTGATAGAACACAAAATTACCATCGGGACGGTCCATCCTGATCCAAATATTATATATATATATTATTTTTTATTTTAAATATATTAATTATATTAATATAATTTATACTTTTATTAATTATATCAATTATAATTTTAATACTTGCAATTCTTATTTAAAACTAAATTTTTTTATATTGATAATTTTAATGACATTGAGTAAACATGATGATATCTTTCTTTATAATATATTAATCATATTAATATAATTTATTCTTATATCTATCTATTAAATAAAGTTTATTTATAACGTATTTCTTACTTTATTTTCAGAAGAGTAATTAGCTTAATACATCTCCACTAAAATAGAAAAATAATAATTTGATATTGTACTTGACTTGCCTATTGTTGTTATTCTTATAGCTTAAAGATCACTTGTATTTACTATTATATTGTATACTTATAATTAATGTAATTCAATAATTGACTTTAAATTGTTGTAATTTATGTACTTGTGTTGTTTTGATTTTAAACTTAATAAATTATATGATTTAAAATTTTAATGAATATTATTATTCAAATCTTTCTTTAATATTATTTGATTTATCGAGACAATAGGACATCTCGATCTTGTCCCTGTTCCGTCCTG